AGAAATATGTCCGGTCCCCTGTAACGCTCGATTGAGTTCCTGATTCTTCATGTTATCATCTCCCTCTACAAGAGCCAGGCCAGATCAGCCCGAAAATGGAATACTGTAGGCATATTTGGACAGAGAAACTGCCCAGTCCTCACTTTTCTGTTTCTGTTAAGTCCTTGTGGGCGACAAATTATTTCTATCCTGCAACCCACCTTTCACAGGGGGAATATGGCGAGATTCTCACTTCTCGCTATTTCCATGGAAAGTGATCAGACGAACAACATTTCTTTGGACGATCAGTTCTAACCTTTACGGCTAGGACCCGCTATGCTACGCGCATTGTAGCGAGCCACCCCCATTCCGCCCATATTTCATGGGTGAGAAATAAGTTTTACTCGTGTAGCTTCTTCCCGCGAACCATTGACCCGTGGAACCGACTCCCAAAAGTTTACTCGATCACTATAATTTTAACCACTTCAGAACTTAACCGTTATCTTCTCCACATATCCACATAAAGTATGCCTATTATTCAGTAACCCTCTACCTCGAGTGGTTCCCGGGCTTTGCACAGAGTGAACCTCAGACGCTTAGTCTAACACATAACACACACACACACACACACACACACACACAGATATATATATATATATATATATATATATATATATATATATATATATATATATATATATGAATCCTTCATACAAAAACAGATATAGAGGTTAATGATTTAAATGGCGAGAAGACATCTTCGCAAACAATTTTAATAAAGAAGACGAAAACTTGTAAAAAACTAAAAAAGACCTTATGCAACTGGAATTTATAAACAGGGATCATACCATTCATATACAGGTTCGGGGTTAATGTACTTTATTAAATTTGTTTGCGAAGATGTATTCTCGCCATTTAAATCATTAACTTCTATATCTGTTTTCTGTATAAATGATTCATGTAATATATATATATATATATAGGTTCCAAAAAAAATTTCGCTTGAAGATGGAACAGAGCTTATTTTAACTCAATTTAATTTAAATAATTTAAATAATTTAAATAATTATATTGAAGTTTTAGGCTCTTGTTTTGAAACATGGGACTTCTTATGTCGCGATTTGGAATCATATTTTTTAAATAAATAATTATATTTATGCTCTACTTTTGTATCGAGCACTATTTTTTAAAAATAATAACTAAAATACTAAGGGACTTTGGATTATTTACCTAACCAGTTCCTTCCTATTTTCTATATATTTTCACACACACATATATATATATATATATATATATATATATATATATATATATATATATATATAGTTAGAAAAATATATTTTTTTTTACTTTTATATTTTCTGTACCCCTTTTTTTCTTAACGATAGGTTTCCAAATTTTTATCCATTTTTTGTTCCCTCACCTATTTCTTTACATTTCATTTTTTTCAATACTATTTTATTATTATATATTCTATTTTTCTACCCCAATTTTTTCCATCAAATCATATTCTAACCACAGCCAATCTTTCTACACTTTACAACTTAGTCCGGAAATTTTTGCTACAACTTGCGACACGCGTGACATTTTTCCCCCCAACAATCTATAACTCTCTTCATCTACGTTTACAAGCTCACTCCCATCACGACACACACTATGAATAATAGACCTGCCTAACGCTTTTACCCCGATCAAAATGTTGAATCTAAGTTTATTTTCATAAAAGTTTCGCACACCGAGGAATCAAACAGAGATCTGGTTTTTGCTAACAATACGATTTCCACTACAAAATATACCAAGCATAAAACATATGTCGGAGAATAATTTCCATTTCTCTGTTTATTCCTCGGTCCATTGATGAAGGACACAGGCGTGTCCGAAAATTAAATTAAAACCTTTCTTTCCGTAATTCATTTTTGTCATATGGTTAATAATCAATATTTATTAATGTTTTTTGGTAATGATTATATTGGTACCCTTTCATTTGTCCTTGATTTATTAATTAACCTATCTATTATATTATATATATATATATATATATATATATATATATATATATATATATATATATATATAGTCACTTGATTCTGGAGCTGCATATGCTTCCCTTTCGCGTCTTGACATAGCCCAAAAGCGTTGACTCGACCTTGTTGGTGATGAAATATTTTTCACCTTACAGCCATTTTCCCACCGACGAAATGTTATATGTCTTGCTCTCTACTCGTTCGCATTTTCCATGGAAAATGTTCAACCGAATTTATGATCTGATTCAATCCTTTTTATAAAATCGCGAAATGAATTTTGTCTTGAACGGCCACTCTTCTACATCATTAATGCAGGTTTTTTCACCCCTAGGTCACCATCCTTGTCAAATTGGCAGTTGAACTAAAAGAAACCTGAGATTTTGTTAACTGGGGAATAAAAAATGGTTTGTTAATTTTAAAACCTGTAAAAACAAACAGCACTTTTTTAATCCGTCTATATTTTTGAGATGAGTTATGTACACTAATTACATTATTCG